TTTACCACTACGGGATTTGAATCGACCACTGCATCTCTGTGCTAATGTGGTGTGGCAACTCGAGCTGATGTACGTACGTACGAAGTTCTACGTTGTTACTGACTGACTGACTGAGTGTATGCTACTTACGTTCTCAGATATAAGTGATATGTAACACCAGTCGTGAGTAGCATGTCTGCGAGTAGACGGTTGAGAAGATTAAAATGAAAAGAGAGAAGGAAACTGAAAGCAATCAAGATAACAAGAGGAATGAAGGAACCATGAAGCTTGCAAGAGACAATTCAAAGATAAGCAACTGATGGATTTAATGTATGGTTTTTATATTCTACGAAAGTACCTTGTAATTTTGCACTAAACAACAAACTAGTTACCCTGAAGTGTTAACGCGATTCAGTAATTTATTTAAATTCTTAATCTTTTAATTGACTGAAACGGGTAGAAATCTCAAGGTTGTTCTTCAGTATACTTTAGCCTTGTTCTGTTTCAATCAAAGTATTTGGTTCGAAGGAACGCATACAAAAGCTTCAACCAAGTCGCAGATTCGAATTTTTTCTCAGTCTATTTCTGTTCGAGCAATCAAGTAGTGTTATTAATTTCTGAATAAAAGTGTGGTTTCAAAGCTGAGTACTTTGTAAATGAATTACGACAAAATTACTTCTATTAGGTTATGTATCTTGATAATTTTAAAATTACAAATGACTAGTGTTATTACATTTTAACAGCAACAAGTGGTGTGGTGATATTATCTGAAGTAGAATTAGTTCAAAAAAGATTGTGTACAAAGATTATTTCATACTCAAAATTAAGTGATTCATTTCATCACTATTGTTCGGTTAAATAGAGAAAAGATCTGTGTCAGATCTATCACACCATAAAAATGAAGTGCTGAGTGATTTGCCCACTATTACTTCGACTTTGTAGAAAAACAGTCGTTTTTTAGACCGGAGATATGGATAGGTTGCTAGTATCCAATTATAGGATACTTCAAAGTATAGCCCACATACAATGGAATCACCAAGTGAGCAATCTTGAGGTTAGGTATTGAGTAATACGTGAACATGATAAAATAATTGATGTGCCAGTGAACCATCTTCAATTGAGATGTTATGGACGCCAAGAGACTGCTTACTCCAATGCTGACTAGTATAAGAGTAGGTTAAAAAGGGTCACGGGCTATCAGAATACGATATTTTATTAGTCCATGAAGTTACTGGGTAATGGACTAAACCGATTAAACGGTATGCGGTTCATTGTTGAGGACCATCATCATAACAAACACAATCTCACTAGAAACGTCAGGTGACACGCCACCCAGAATTAGTTGCAGTAGTCAGTCAGTCAGTAACAACGTAGAACTTCGTACGTACGTACATCAGTTCGAGTTGCCACACCACATTAGCACAGAGATGCAGTTGTCGATTCAAATCCCGTAGTGGTAGGGGTAATAAGAGTATAAGCAGTAATCGGGAAGATTAGGGTTTGGAGATGTTATTTAAAGAGTATAATACAGTGAAATAAATTTGGAAAGAAGAAAATAGGGACATGAAGAATTCAGAAGATTAGAATTTGGGAGAACACAGAGAGTGCATGCACCTGCGCCATTGCAAACAATTTTGAGCCAAGTCATTCAGGGTCTCTAACCATCGGTTACTATCATCTCGCGGTCCCCAACCAGGTAGTCTACACCTACCAACAGGACTCAGTTCACTTGTCAGTGACTTCATGGACTTGTGCCATGTTTTGGTTTGGCCGCCCCTAGCTTTCTTCCAACCTACTCCTATACCACTGAACATCGCACGTCGAGGTAGTCGGTCGTTGGGCATACGTAACACGTGTCCCAGCCACCTCAACTGATGAAGTTTCACTACTTCATAAATTGATTTGCCATCCTTACCTAGTACCCGTTTCCTGACAACTGTGTTACTTACTCGATGGTCCCAGGATATACGAGCAATGTTTCGAAGACACCTATGATCGAATACTAGTAACCTACGGATATCCTCTACTCTTACCGGCCATGTTTCACTGCCATAAAGTAGGACGGAACGAACTGCTGCGCAGTAAACACGTCCTTTGGTTGATAGACGGATATCTCGCCTACGCCATAAATGACGCAAGTTGGCAAAAGCTAGTCGAGCCTTCTGTATCCGTGCTGAGATTTCGTCACAAACCAAACCACAAGGGCTGATGAGACTTCCAAGATAAGTGAAGCGGTCGACACACTCAACTACTTCACTCCCTATCACTAGTTCGGGTGTCGATGTAACCCAATCCTGAAGCAACATTTTACATTTCGAGGGAGAGAATCGCATCCCGAACATGCTTGCATTGTTGCTTAGAGTGGTCAGAAGACCCTGCATTTTGTCAGCGTCTTCACCAAATAAAACTATGTCATCTGCATATTCTAAGTCAACAAGTGAACCTCCCGGTAGAAGTTCAACCCCTGGAAATTTAGATGAGGAGAGTGTTATCTCTAAAAGTACGTCAATGACAAAGTTGAACAAGAATGGTAAGAGTGGACAGCCCTGACGAACACCACTTGAGGTGATCAATTCTGATGACAGTTCGCCATAAGCTCTCACTCTACCAGTTGTGTTCGAGTAGAGAGCCTTTATAAGGTTAATGTACTTCTTTGGTACTCCTTTCAGTGACAAACACTGCCATAGAACCTCACGATCAACGGAGTCGAATGCCGCCTTAAGGTCGAGAAATACTACCATTGTGGGGCGTCTGAATGTGTGTCTGTGTTCTAGAACCTGACGTAGTGTGAATATCTGATCTATACAACCACGTCCAGGTCGAAAACCAGCCTGGTTTTCTCTAGTCTGTTCTTCACGAGCTTTAGTTAGGCGTCGAAGTATTATTGAGGCCAATATTTTAGACACTATATTAGTCAAACTGATTCCTCTGTGATTGTCACAGGAGGACTTTTGTCCTTTCTTATAGACTGGCACAATCAGTGATTGAGACCAGTCAGATGAGATTACGTCCAGTTCCCAAATTCTACCTAAGACCTCGGTTAATCTTGCTGCTAATACTGGACCACCATCCTTAAAAATCTCCCTCGTTTCAGATTTCCTATGGCTTTTTCAACTTCGTAAAGGGACGGAGGACTTACATTAACTTGCCATTCAGGTTGACTGGAGATCGTGGGAAACCGAAGTGTGGCTGAAGGCCAGTTGAACTGATCCCTAAAGTGTTCTGCCCATCGATCCAATCTCCTGGATTGAGAATGAATAATATGTCCATCTTTCTCTGAGATTGTTTCGCTAACGGTCGGTTTCCTAATTCCGGTTTCCTTAACGAGTCTAAACAATTGTCTGCTATTACCTATTGCCGCTGCCTTTTCCATCTCTCTTGCTTTCGCTACCCACCACTGTTCACGATCATTGCGTAGACTTCTTGTCAGCTTGCGCTTAAGCTGACTCCGCTCTTCATTATGTTCAGAGCCATGTGGAATGAGTTTTCGAGCATCTATCAGTGCGATAGATGCTGCTGAGATCCAGTGTTGCTCCCTAACTTTACGGTTTACCTTACTAGCAGATATCACTGCTGTTTCCACAGCTTTTCGGATATCGTTCCATGCTGCCTCGGGGTGGGCATCACATACATGGCTGCCTAACTCTTTTCCTAGTTGTTCCTGAAATATACTCTTAGCTTGACCATCATTAGGTAGGGCCCTAAGAGGTTTCCTTGCAGGATCTTTCCTACGTCCAGTAAGACGCAAGCAAATACGCGCTCGCACTAGAGCATGATCTGAATCTAAGCATGTGCTCCAGAATGAGCGACAGTCTTCTATCGAGCCCCTCCATCGGTGGCTGATAGCGATGTGATCTATTTGGGTCCAACGTTGGGACGAATTAGGGGGTCGCCATGTTAAAAGATGTTTTTCCTTATGCTTAAAGTTAGTATTTGCAAGGAACAGGCGGTTATCTGAACATAGCTGCAACAGACGGTCGCCATTATCTGTTCTTTGAGCCACGACACCATAAGATCCACCTAGGTGTCTTTCCTTATCGCTTAGTTTACCTACTTGAGCATTAAAGTCACCGGCCACTATTACTACATCCGAGCGCTTAGCTTTTCGGAGAAGGTCGGAAAGCTTTCTGTAAAACTCATCTTTTACATCATCTGAGCTGCAGTCAGTGGGAGAATAGGCAGAGACGACGAAGAGGCAACGACGAGTGTCCCTATCTTTCCGGATTCTTACTGTTCCGTTCAGTCGGACAGCGCACAAACGACTGTTTACTGGGATCCACTCTAAGAGAGCTAGTTCTGCCCTAGGACTCAATGCTATACCTACGCCAGCGAGGCCACGGGAAGCAGAATCAGGGCTTCCAGATACACGAAGCGTAAATCGAGTCGGTTGTTTATTTTGGCATGGTGAGGTCAAATGAATGACGCTACTCGGATCTTGTATGCGCGTTTCGGAGACGCAGCACACATCGATGGCGCGAGATTCTAAAGTCCTAGCTAAGGAAGCCTGTTGTCCTATTTGGCACAGTGTTCGTACGTTAAAAGCTCCTACGTGTAGTTTAGAGCGTGGTTTCAGGAGCCCAGGAATGGCGTTCCACGTACTCGAATCGTTTGCCCTAGCGGTGCGAGGTGATAAAGAGACGTGAGGAGGGTTAGTCGGGAGGATAAGAGAGGTATTAGGAGGTGTAGGAAGGATTTGAATGTGACCAACTTGGTCTCGTGTGCTATTACGGGTATGAGGGCTGATGTCACTTCCCGGCTGCCCACACTGCACCGCAGTAGTGCAGTTCCATTAATTTTTTCATTATCTTTTAAATTTAGTGTTAATGTTGTCGAATGTTTTTAACTCCCCCAATCTCATTTGCTCGTTTTAAACGATATCCTCTATTCACTTAGCCAATACTATTGATATCATTATATCAGCATTTTTTTTATAGTACAGTGTAAATTGTATCATTTCCCACATGAAAATATGCTATATTTTGATAAATTGTTGTATAGATATTTCTATAATCTAACCTCACCTCAGAGCATAGAAACTCTCGTAAACTGGAACGTAATACTTTTCTTCCATCACCTTGCCGAGAAAATGGAGTTAAACCTGAGCCTTTCAATTGTAATTCCCAACGTTCACCTTGTTTATTGATCACTTCACCAAGTGAACTAGAAGAAACAAATAACTCCAGTGACTGAGTAATATACAATAACAAGATCAAAGTTTTTTTCATTTCTGATATATATATATATATATATATAACACAACTAAATTGAAAGGTGAGACGACTTTATTTCACTAGCGGTGACTTTCAGAACATAGACAAACAAACCTCTGTAATTATTGGTAAAACGAAAATATTTACTACAAACAAATGAACAATGATTTCATTTTAACGACTAAATATTTGTCAACCTTTATAATAATACGTGTTCAGCATAAAATGACGAGTCTTGAGTTCAACATTTCAAAGAATAATGAATGTTAGGCCCCAAAATAGTGTAGTCAGCAGAACCAAACAATCGTTGTAAACTATCATGAATTGACTGAAGTTGGAAATGTGAGTCTTTGGACGGTTAATTGGTAATATGAAAGCTTGTAACGAGGTATAAACGTCGTGAATCTGAACGCAGTTGGCGTTATGGTTGCACATTGATGATGAGTTGCATGTTGGAACGAAACACTTGTAAAGCCAATTCAGATAGGCCTTCAACAACTGACTACCAGAGTTCAGTATGTAAGATACATAATGGATAACCCGAAACATCCCAAATACGCTTTACAGAACAAAATTGTGAACAATAATTTTAATCTTGAGTTGAAGGATGTGAAAGCATGCGAGTGTAAGTGTTATAATGCTCGCTTATTACAACCCAGCTATTCCTATTGCTTAGGATTCTTAACCACCAATTCACTCGACAATCCCCAAATCAGAATGTGGTTGAATAGGAAAGAGATTATATTCCAAAAAACAAGGTTAGATGGAAGTAAGAAGCACAGTAGGAAAAACGTTAGTATATTCATAGTTTTTACACGAGAAGATTCTAAAGTGTTCTCCAAGTATCGACCAGCGCTGATTGGATTAGAATTAGCCAATCAGCGTGAAGCAACGCAATCGTGCATTGAGCATTCTTTAATCTAATCTATGTCCCGCTAACAGTAAGTTTCCTATATTTCTATAATCTAGCTATTCACAGAATCTTTCGGCATAGACTACTGCTTTCAATGTGATCGTAAACATTGTTATCTGTATCACAAAATTATGGGAATAATGAGTGTTCTTTGGTAAGTATCGGCTGTTTTGATTGCAATTTGAAATACTGTAGAGATGTTGGCGTATATTTTTCCCAAATAACTCGGAATGTAAAGAAAATGTAACATTGGGAAAAACGTAACTTAAACTTTGAGTGGCATTTAAGCTATTGATTTACGCATCATTAAACGGTATAACGCATCAGCTGAATCATTAAATTAGGTATCTATTTCCGCCCAAATGAAGAGGTCAACAATCTTGTGAGCATATACACATATGGAGCTGAGAACGGACTGGGGAACGAAATTAGTCATCACTAGGCCATTCAAGTAATGCATAGACAACTCGGTCTTACATTAGACCAGTTACATACAGAATAACATGTCAGATGAGTTGGAAACGTACAAGTGAATTTGTTTTGTAATATTACGTGCAGATTACTTGGTTGGAGTGCGCGCGACTGTTGTAACCAATTGTTGGGGATTCTGGGTGAAGTTTCAGAATCAATCACAATGGCGTTATTGTATGCCCTCTTTATCTTACCTTAAACTATGAGATTAAAATGACTTTATAGCTTTCTTTCTACGATCTAATTCTTTCGTTCTGTATTATATCCTTATACACAATCTTTATTTTATATATTACTACCACTGAGGTAACTACTTCTACGGACTTGATGTTCATCTTTTTGTGCTAATGAGGTGTGGAAATTTGGACCGATACATATATGTGCCTGTCAGTCAGTTTTATTTTATTTATTTCAACACATAAATATTGGTGCAAGAGGGCACCAAATATATATGCGCCACACCATATTTGTGTGTGTGTGCGGGCTGTGATACTGACCGGGTGTCCAGACCGAAGCAGGTGGTCTTCTTAGGAGGCCACACCCCAAGCCTTCGACCTAAAGGTCTGATCCACAAGGCAGTGGAACATCGTGAGATGTATTCTCATGGTAGCTGGTGACCAAAAATTGGTTCATACGCCATTTTTTCCCGTAGGATACTGGAGCCCATGTGCACCATTGGTTTGGGATCCGGTTAAAGCGCCGGACATTCGCTTTCCGTCCTCTCATTTTCGTGAACAACACCCCCGCCACGAGAAGGCAGTGAGTAGGACTTCCCTGGCAGAGAATTTGTACGTACGTACATCAGTTCGAGTTGCCATACTACATTAGCACAGTGATGCAGTTGTCGATTCAAATCCCGCAGTGGTAGAGGTAGTAAGAGTATAAGTAGTAATTGGAAACATTAGGGCTTGAAGATGTTATTCAAAGGGTATAATTCAGTGAAATAAATTTGGAAGGAGAAAAAAAAGAAAAAATAAAGAGTTCAGAAGATTAGAATCTGGGAGAACACAAAGAGTGGATGCACCTGTGCCATTACAAACGATTTTGAGCCATGCCACTCAAGGTCTCTAACCGTCGGCTGCTATCATCTCCCGGATCCCGACCAGTTAGTCTACACCTACCAACATGCCTCAGTACACTTGTCAGTGATTTCATGGATTTGTGCCATGTTTTGGTCTAGTCGCCCCTAGCTTTCTCCCAACCTAATCCTACACCATAAAACATCGCACGCCGGGGCAGTAGGCGGTTGGGCATACATAAAACATGTCACAGACATCTCAACTGATGAAGTTTCATTACTTCATCAATCGATTTGCCATCCTTACCTAGCACCCGTTTCCTACAACCGCATTACTTACTCGGTGGTCCCAGGATATACGAGCAATGCTTCGAAGACTCCTATAATCGAATATTAGTAACCTACGAATATCCTCTACTCTTACCGGCCATGTTTCACTGTCATAAAGTAGGAAGGAACGAACTGGTGCACAGTAAACCCGTCCTTTTGGTTGATAGACGGATATCTCGCCTACGCCATAAATGACACAAGCTAGACAAGACTCCTGTATCCGTGCTGAAATTTCGTCAAACACCAGACCACAAGATCTGATTAGACTCCCAAGATAAGTGAAGCGGTTTACACGCTCGACTACTTCACTCCCTATCATTAGTTCGGGTGTCGATGTATATGCCTGGTCCTGCGTTGTAACTAACTGAATGACTGAGAGGTCAATAGTGATCTGAATCTATTTACGATGAGAACACTAGAGCTTCTTTTTAATTTTTTCTAATAATCTAACGCTTTTAATCATATTAACCGAGTCGCTTACCCTAACCAACTAGTATAGTGAAGTAGCATAATGAGTGATTATAAAAAATTCCAAAATGTTACTTTTTATTGTTAAATATTACACACAGTTGAATACGCTTGGAAAAATAAAAATTCGAAAAAGGCTTACATACATTGCTGCACCATCTCCAAGTTGACCAGCAAAACTACCAAATTGATACCCACAATAACAATGAGCTGTGGGATCACTACCAGGCCATAATTTGTTTCCTGACAAATATTCAACTAGATGATTTGTTTCTCCTGTTTTCTCTATACAGTTTTGTTCATCAAGATGGTTAACTTCATGACGAATATTTAGCAAACTAAGTGCATCAAGAGAAAATAAAACTACACGGGGATTGTCTATTCTGGTTGGACTGACACGTGTGAAACAAGCATTCGGTACAGATCGTATACTATTGGATCCATTGTCGATCGGTAGACATTTCAATTGGATATTATCGAACTGTGGACAATGTTTTGACCACGATGATCTCTCCGACAAGGAACATGTATTAAATAGCATATGAGCTTCTTTATTAACAGTATTTGAAAAGAGACCAAGATACGTTATGTTAAAACATTGTTCCACTAACTTCTAAAACACCATATAGAATATCAACAGAATATTTGCTTTCACAAAAATGCATAATAATATTTATTTCGTGATGCAAAAAAATGAATAAAACAAATAATAAAGAAGTTTATATGAATGTGTCCCAGTCTAATTTATCACGTTGTGTATCAAGGTGAGATGAATATATGGGACAAAAAAGTGATAAAAAAGCTAACAGGAACACGAGTAGATATAAAGCGAAGCTGTAGTAACTGTCCACTATCAAGAGACAACGGTTTGTCATGTAATAAATCACGATACTGCAAAGATGTCCAGACCCAATTAGAAAAAACGATATTTTCGGACAAAAGTCAGTTAATTAGATCGCAGGACCATAACCCATAAAATAATAATATGGTTTGATGCGATTGACGTGCTTCCTCTGACTAATTAGTGCAGTATGGAACTGAATGTAAACACCAATTGAGCCCAATAAACCTAGTAAACATTCATATACTCCGCTTCGAGTCACAATTTCTGTGTTAGAACTGGTAATACTATTCGACTACCTTTATGAGTAGGCACGGATAAATTTAAAACCACGGATCTAATATTTGAAGATCCAGTGGATTACCTATCAAGCTATCGATATAAAACCAACTACTATGGAATATTAAAACCTAAAACGGACTGCCATTTGGTATCTTTACGAATACTTCAAAACAACAAATGAGTCTTATTGCAAAATTAGGACATAATTTATCAGCCATTTAAGACGAAAAGTTAACCTGTTTGAAAGAGATAGTGAGCTGTTGGGAAGGTTTCAAGAAGCAGTAGCTGAACAGATTCCCGAAACCTCAAACATGGTCTATGCTGAGACTGGACAAATTAAACTTATTCATTCCGTTAGAGGTGGTAATCACGGTCTTCAAACTAATCAACAATAACTCTATATCAGACGTTGCATCATGTTTCATGTCGATCAAAATTTACAATACTCTAAAAAATTAGTGATCCCGGGACTAAATACTAGTCACTTGAGTTCAAACTTTCCCATCAAACCATCAGCCGGTAGAAATCAGTTTATGATATGGTGGAAGCATCATTTATCAACGCATTCGAAATAAAATCGGACCAGGGTCCCCATCTTCAGGACTAGAAAAAGCCATCTAAACTCCTAACCCATCCGAATTCTCACTGAATGTTATCTAATCTTAGTGATATTTTTGCTGTACCAAACCTGCTGATTTTGAGGTTTTCCCTCAGTTTTTGGGGAATTTCTCAAAACTTGGGGAAATTTTTAGGGTTTTGTGTCTTTCCTCCAAAATTGTCTATAACGGCTTTACCAAAATTTCCCTAAGACAGACAAATTTTTCCCCAAAATTTGGAAGTTATAACCCAACATACGTAAAGTGTAAAGATCTGCTTTTGTGACAAAATCAACCTGTTGATTTATTTTCGGTCTAATCCTACTACGCTACAAATAGACAGAGCCTGGTAGTATTGTTTCTCGAGCAGTGTTATCGGACATTCGTAGATAAAGGACATTTCACAATCTCCTAATTTTGGGAAAACTCGACTTGTTTTGGGGAAGCCGTTATAGAACATTCTGGGGAAATAGAACCAAAATCCCAAAATTTATTCAGAACTGGGGAACTTCCCTAACATATCGGGTTTTCCCCAATATCCCCCAAAACTTAATGGAAGGCCATTGGACTTTGTGGATTTCCCCAAACGGGAGATTAATCTCACAATTGGTCCCTACTTCATAAAAGCTTTCATGAAGTAGGACATGAGTGAAACTGAAACTGTATAAGCCAATTTTCCTGCTATGAACATAGTGAGTGCATTTCACTGATTCCTCCATAAATCATAGCACTGCAATACTAACCTTTTGGGTATAGACATGAAAGAAAAGTATCGAATTCCGGAATTGACTTCTAGCACGGTATGTTGTGTGATGCATTCACATGTACTTCCTTCGAAGCCAGTGGACGTAGACCCAACTAAAGACCTTCAGCGGCTCTCAGCTACGATACTAAACTACGAAAATCGAATAGTTTCGACATAGTTGGAGGACAGTAAAATGGCAACGCTTCAGGGTATCGTCCGCTGACGAAGATTGCGAGCACTTGAAGGTCAAACTATCGCCAGATGATTGATGCGTCACGTCGACAAATGGTTCAAATGGTTCAAATGGTTGTGGACGGAATAGAAGAAGCTTTCGCTTAACAGGCTTCCGTGTCTAGTAGCAGGGGATCACCAAATCCTCCAGGCAGGAACCTAGGTATGTTAACAATAAAAGAGGAAAAGAAATTGGTAAATCATAGTGCGATGCTGTCCTTGGTCCTTAAGAAGTTTTTCAGAAGCGGTCAGATCAAGACATTTCTAGATTTGGATTGAGTTCAGACGCACCATGTGTGATAACGTCCATCCTTCAAGTAACGAAGACGATGCCATCGTGATGATGCAAGATGTGGGACCAATCTTCAATGATATGATATTATTTCGTCGATTCACAAGTTGAGACAATTTTGAGACCTATTTGAAGGAAGTACATAGTTTAATATGACTTCTTTGGTGAATAATTATTTTTGTAGGATACGCATACTAAGTACGTTATATCACTATGTCAGTATTGTCAGGTTTACTGAAAACCATCTCCGTTTTGTTCCAACGACCCTGAACGCGCCCATTCAAATAATTCAAATTCAGATTTGTGTAACAAGGACAGAAGGTCTGCGGCCTATGTTACTGTTCCTTATGGTGTGCTTTTGTGAATGTCCAGTCTTCACTTGAGTGATTCAACTGAAGGTGCGGACATCACTGCTTCAGACAACAGATTTGAAGTATTGATGAATTCAAATGGTTCAAATGGTTGTGGACGGAATACAAGAAGCTTTCGCTTAACAGGCTTCCGTGTCTAGTAGCAGGGGATCACCAAATCCTCCAGGCAGGAACCTAGGTATGTTAACAATAAAAGAGAAAAAGAAATTGGTAAATCATAGTGTGATGCTGCCCTTGGTCCTTAAGAATAGGTCAAGTTGCCTCTTGAAGGACTCCTGAGAAGTCGCTTGGACTAGCTCGGCCGGCAGCGAATTCCAGCTTTTGACAACTCTTAAGGAATAGAAGTTGTGTCTACATTCCGTCTTGCTATGTTGTGTTTCCAGTTTCTGGGTGTTACCCCTTAGGTTATTATTCGAACTAAGCTTAAGTAGGTGTTTAAGAGGATGTCCAGAAGTGTTAAGAATACTATAAGCCATTAATAAATCACCTCTAAGACGCCTATATTCTAGTGGGTAAAGGTCTAGTGAACGGAGGCGTTCTTCGTAAGGCTTAGATTTGAGTCCTCGAACTGATTTCGTGGCTCGCCGTTGGATACGCTCCAAAGTGACCTTGTCCTTTTGGAGTGAGGGGGGAGTACTATGTTTCCGTACTCTAAATGGGGACGGATGAAACTATTGAAGATTGTGTGGAAAGTTCTTCCGTCAAACTGGCCAAAAATGCGCCTCAACGTTACCAGTGCAAGGTTTGCTCGGAAGGCATTTTTGTCACAGTTAGCGTATGACTTAAATCATGGGGCACCAGGACTCCTAAATCTTTTTCGACTTGGGATACTACTAGAAAGGAGTCACTTAAGTTGTAACTGTAGTTTGCGACATGGACTACTTTACACTTTGAAGTGCTAAATGAAAGTCCGTTGTCGCCTGCCCAACTTTGAAGTCGAGTCAGATCCTCCTGAAGTGCCTGTGTATCGTCTTGGTTGCGTATCTCTCTCCAAAGTTTCACGTCGTCGGCAAAAAGTAATGAGTCTGACGTTACCTGTTGAGGAAGATCATTTATGTAGATCAAGAAGAGAAGAGGCCCTAGTACTGAGCCCTGGGGGACCCCACTGGGACATTCCATAGCTTGAGATAAAGTGAAATTAACCCTAACCTTAAAGTGTCGATTATTTAGGTATGAAGTAAGCCAATCGATTAGAGGTGGTTTGATACCTAGTCGTTTGAGCTTGTTGATAAGACACAAGTGGTTAACCATATCAAAAGCTTTTGAGAAATCAAGGTAAACGATATCAACCTTTCCCTTGCAATCGAGGATGCTTGTCCATCTGTCCACCGCAGTCAGCAGGTTGGTTATACAAGAGTAACCCTTCCTGAAACCATGCTGTTGGGGTGAGAAGAAATTTAAGGACAGTAGATAGTCATTTAAACCGTCGCACATCAGGGACTCCATGAGTTTTGAAGGTAATGACAGAAGAGCCACCGGCCGATAACTTGAAGGTTCATTGAGTCGACCTCCTTTGAAAATTGGTGTGATGTGAGCCAACTTCCAATTTTCCGGTAATTTGCCTCGGCTAAGCGAGTGAGAAAGCATCACGCTAAGCGGCGTTGCCAGGATTGAGGCTGCCTCCCTCAGTATGGCAGGATGAACCGTATCCGGGCCAGGAGAAGTGTCTAATCTTAAGTGCTGCAATTTCCGGAACACCAAGTCAGCGCTTAGGTCCACTTCAGAAAGTCCTGTGAAGTTGGAGATGAAACTGTCGTCAATAAAGTTGATGTCAGCCGGTTGAAATGTTTGAGAGTAATGTGCCGCCAGAAGGTTAGCGGCGTCGCCATCGTTGTTGGTCGGGCCGTTAAGACCTAGCAGTTGAGAAACTCCTGTTTTGGCTTAACGAAGAGAGGCTGCATAACGGAATAGGCTTCTAGGGTTAGAGGCGAATTTGTCCATAAGCTTTGTTTGGTACTGAAGCCTGTCTTCTCTTATAGCCTTCGTGCATATGTTCCTGATATGTTTATATTGCCTATACGCTCCGTCGTTATCAAATCGTTTGTATTCCGCCCAACAGTGCCTTTTGCGGCTTAGCAGACGAAGGTTATGGTTCTTGATTACTGTAGGTGGCTTGCAGCTTTTGGGAACCGTTTGAGGAACTGAATGTTCTGTAGCACATAAGAGCGTGTGCAGTAAGAAGTCCCAATGACCATCCACATCGAGTTGAGGGTGAATATCCCAAGCCACCTGTTGTAGATAGTCATGTAGAGCTGGCACATTCAGCCGTTTAAAATTCCAACGCAAATTATTGTTGGGATACCTTAGCTTAGTTTTGATGACAAAACTGAAGGCTATAACAGCATGATCACTTTTTCCCAGAGGAGCCAGGATTGAGAGGTTGTCGACTAGGAATTCTTCGTTAGTGAATACACAGTCTAAGCGCGATGGTGTCTGACTGTTTCGCCAACGAGTTGCCGACCTCACATTTTCACATAAGCCCAAGTTATCGATGAGGTTGTAGAACCGAGCTTCAATTGAGTTGTCGCCTCCAGTGTACGTGTGTTCCGCGAAGTTGACTCTAGGGAGATTGAAGTCCCCTAGAGGGCGGGATAGTCCTTCCAGCATACGACTATCGTACTCGATGTCGGCAGTTGGCTTCCTGTAAATGACTCCGACTAGACACCTGGAAGTACTAGACAATCTTACCGAGCACCATATGGATTCCTCAAGATTGTTAAACTCGAGGTTGTGGACCTGGTGCACCTCCAAGCAAGAGCTTATGTATATGGCTACTCCGCCCCCAATTCCTGTTTTTCTGTCGTTGCGGAACAAAGTCATCCCAGGTAATGCTAACTCTTGGTCCGAGAACTAAGAAGATATCCAGGTTTCAGATATTCCTATCAGATGGGCCTTATTAGCGTTGCTAAGTTCACGTAGTTCATCCAGTTTGTTTGGTAGACTTGCGGCGTTCATATATAAGCAGTTTATGCTTTCAATTTGGAACGCATGAGCTTCGTCCTGTTTTTCTGTATGAACCTTATGTGAATGGACAGGTAGCCCACCTATATGAGGTTTGCTGAGGTGGTAGGCCCTGTCCTTTACACGTTTTTTTTATCATTTAGACAGTCCACAATTGGAATGGTCAGCTCCAACTTGCCTTTGTTCTTGGTCCCATCTTCGTATGGCCTGTCCGGGTGCATGTGGATTCCAGGTGGCAATCGGCGTCTATTGGCACGAAATGCTTCCAGAACTGCAGCCGCCATGTGGAAAGATGGGAAGGTTATCTTCATTAGACGGGGTCTAGAATCACCGTCCTTCTTGGCTAGTCTCGTCACATGCTGAGTAAGTATGTGTTTGAGCCTCAGGGGCTGTTTGATGAATTTCCATTCCCCGATGTCAGAATTTGATTGAGTAGGGTCTGCATTTTCCTGTATACCTTGAACAATTATGTTTCTTCCGCGGAAAAACTGATCGCGAGATTCTTTAGGGATGTTACGTATGATATTGTGCTCAGAGTACGGTATGTCGGGCAATATTCTTACGTTACCATCTGATTTCAGCAAGTGACTTGCTAGCAAGACGTCCTCTACGTCGGTAGCATTCTTAAGTGTTACTCGAAGAAGCCTCGGGTGATTTAGATGCTTAGAATCCTTTCCTCGAGTGAGCCGGGTGACCGTCAAAGGCTCTATTCTAGGAAGTTCGAGCTTCTTGTTCAATTCACCCCACAGCATCCTGTCGTTTTTGTCCTGCAGACTGAGAGGAAGGTCAGGATTGTCAACGAGGTTCATGATAATCAGAGAATCGTCACGAACTGTTGTTAATTTACCAGGTTTCACGATGGGTTCAGGTTTAGTAACTTGTTGTTTGGAGGTCAGTGTGCGTTTTTGAATCTTGGGCTCTTTATTGACCGGATGAACAGTCTTGGGGGTAGACTGTGCGACCAAATCACCAGTTATTTTCCGTGCAGCAACACTTGGGTTGCTCGGCTTAGGCGATGATGCCTGGTTCGTTTTGGCGCTCTTAACGTGGGTCGAATCACCTACAGGGTTTTTGGGAACCACTGTTGTGTTCAGGGACCCTGAGCTGGGAGACCCGAGTTTGCCTAGGGAGTCTAATACCGTCGACGTAATGATGGTGCTGAGCCTCGACACGTCATCATTACTGTTGATGGATGCTCCATCGATGGTATACCTGTCGACATCCCTATTTTTGTATCCGTCGCACGCTCTTGTTTGTCGACCGGTTTTTTTACTATCTTTATCCAAGTTAACTGACAACTTGTTCCGAAGACCTGTCAGTAGGACAATGATGTTACTCAGTAAGACTACAGTGTCCGTGCTACACGTGACACATACCCACTTTTGGTCTGACTTGCTGAGTTTGTTGTAAGC